CAAGGTCTCAACAAAAACATACGTCAGACCCATCCCAGTGTGGTAGAGTGCGGTGTCAACACGTCATCACCATGAGTTTATGACAACTGCATCGCTGAGACAAGGCAGAATGAAGACGACACTAAAAGAGTTTTTGTGAGAAAACACACCAGGACACCTGAAAGGCATCTGATTCACATTCCTTGGTCATTTTGTGAAGCTTACCTGTTTCACAATAAAGCCACTTCCCAAACCATCAGAAGTCGGGCCTTTGCTTTTCTTACATCCTTCCCACTTATAAAGACAAAACCGACATGGGATGAAGCCATTTAGCTGTCTGCTGAGGATGTCTGCCTCATAAGGCATTTTTTGCTAACTGTGCGGGGGCCCTTGGGCTCAGTGGCAGAGCATCTACTTTGCATGAAGGAGGTCCCAAGTTCAATCCCTGTCATCTCCAGGCAAAAGGCTCAGGTGACAGGTGATGTGAAAGGCCTCTGCCTGAGACCCTGGAGAGCTGCTGCTGCTTTGTGAAGACAGTACTGACCATGACAGACTAATGGTCTGACTCAGTAGAAGGCAGTCTCATGTCCAGTGTCCCCTCTAAGCTGAGTTAGACGACTGAGGGGTGACATGATTGAGGTTTACAAGATTATGCATGGGAAAGAACAGGTAGAGAAAGAGGTACTTTTCTCCCTTTCTCACAATACAAGAACTCGTGGGCACTCCATGAAACTGCTGAGCAACTGGGTCAGAACAGATGAAGTCCTCCTTCACCCAAAGAGTGATTCACACATGAAATTCACTGCCACAGGAAGTGGTGGCGGCTACAAGCATGGACGGCTTCAAAAGGGAATTAGATAGGCATATGGAGCAGAGGTCCATCAGTGGCTATTAGCCACAAGGTATAGATAGGGGCTCTGGGGCAAGTGATGTCTTCTTGGTGCTTGGGGGGGGCAACAGTGGGAGGGCTTCTAATGTCCTGGCTCCACTGGTGGACCTCCTGATGGCACCTGGTATTTTTGGCCACCGTGTGACAGAGTGTTGGACTAGATGGGCCTTTGGCCTGATCCAACATTGGTGTCTCTTATGTTTTTATGTTCTTATGAGCTGGGCTCACAGTTTTTTAGCCTCCGGCTCACACGCTTTTGTCTCAGCTCAGGAAAGGACGGCTACAGAGCACACTGATTTATGCAGCAGCCAAATCGCTTGCTCACCACTTTAATGCCAGTGCTCACAAAGTGGAATTTTTGCTCACAAAACTCCACAGCTTAGAGGGAACATTGCTCACGTCTGTACCAACTGAGCCAACAAATCCACACATACTTTTCCAAAGCTTTAACTGGTAACAAAAGCATGTCAAAGAGGGTTTTATATAAACTAAAACCAAAGAACAATGACAGAATTGTTACGTTTTATTATAAGCCAAAACCAAACTGGGCAGAGATAACTCGTGACTTTCTGTGCAAAAGATGATGATCGCCCCTCCCGGTCTCTGCCTTTCGAAAGAAAGCAACACCTCTTTGAAGCATGAACCACTGTTAAAGACTAATTTAGAAAATGACAGAAAATAGAGTACTAAGTACAGGAATTAGATGTTCCCTGCCATCTTTTTCTCTGGCATAACTCCTGTGCCTTTAATAATTTCACGACAAGCAGAACTCAACAGGAAACTCATTTCCCGCCTTGTAAACGCCATTCCTGATAAAGCAGTATCCATTGAATTTCTGATTCTCATGCAATTGTTAAAAGGCTCTGGCTGCCTATAGCGTACCGAGTTCGGTTCAAGGTGCTGGTGTTAACCTTTAAAGCCCTATATGGTCAGAGACCTGCCTACCTGAGGGACCGCCTCTCCCCATACGAGCCCCAGAGAGCACTGAGGTCAGGGTCGCAACACCGATTGACCCTCCCTGGTTCGAAAGAAGCCAGGCTAAATACTACCCGAACCAGGGCTTTCTCGGTGGTGGCCCCACACTGGTGGAACGAGCTCCCAGAGAACATCAGGGCCCTGCGGGACCTCTCACAGCTCCGCAGGGCCTGTAAAATGGAGCTCTTTTACCAGGCGTTCAATTAGGGGCTGCCACTGAGGGGTGTGCCCTGGAACATCTTCTGGCCGAACTTGGACCATCTCCTGTCTAGAGTCTCTGCTGGTTACTACCCTTATCTCGGGGATTGGATTGGATTACCGCCATAGTTGGTTTTGTACTTGTTGGTGTTTACTCATTTTAACCGATATTGTATTTATTAATTATTTTATTTTTTTGTTATGTTATTTAATCGTGTTAGCCGCCTTGACCCTGCTTGTCAGGCAAGGTGGGGTATAAATACAAACAATAAATAAATAAATAAATGTAAGTAGAATTTAATTTCTAAACCACTGAGGTAGGAATAGGTTATACATATTGCTGTGAATAATTTGGTAATTGTCAGGACTGGGTTTGAGTATTTCACAGTGACGGGTGCCTGCCATATTGGGGCCCTGACATGACCATTTCAACAGCATCTCTGGACTCCTTTGACATTCTCCAAAGTTTCAGTCACTTCTGAACACCCCAGGAGATCTACGACTATGCCCCCAGTTGTGGGAAAATATATACTGAGTTGGACACAGCCGCAAATCTCTCCCACTTTCTCCTCCCCTAGCAGCCACTTGACCCTAGGAAAGGTGATTTCCTGAACTGTGAGACCTCGCAGGGATTAACAGTCACAGTGGTTGATGTGCACCACTGAGGAGGCGGAAAGGATGGAGCAATTTTTGGGGTTCAAACTGCCCTGTCTGGCTCTTCTGTCTATGAAGCTGGCTCTTCTGACAGAACAGAAGGATGGAGCAATTTTTGTAGCACTATTTGTGCTATACTTTTGGGGTGGCACTCCCTCTTGTGCTTCGGGGAGAATCGAAAACAATGTCATCAGGTTGCAGTGGAAGTAACACACTCACCAAAATGCATTTATTCCATTGCCACTTTGACTATGGAGCAAGTAAAGGACAAAACCCTTTTCTTCCTGGCTTCAGAAACATTAGTACTAATCAGGGCTATTTT